AAATAAATAATCTAATCTGAGAGACTTCAATTGTTTGACAATTCTTATGGACTGTAAAATAAACATATCTTTTTCACTGTTGAAGAAGATATTCATAATAATTCTGAAGAATTATTATGAGTATAATTCCGAGATGAAGAATTATACTGGTGATATATTTTTAACAAAATTATCAAAGATGATCACAAGTCCTGTAACCGATTAGAGTCATAGGGGCATTATATGTACTGAAGCTATAACAGTAGTGTTGTGTCTATGGTAAAATAACCTGACAGAACCCCTACTCTTTTGCTTGATTTTTGAATTTCATTTTCATCTTTCTAGAATGGTTGTCACCTCAAGGCAAGACAGCCCAGTCTGCCTTGCTATTTAACCCATAGCTGAAGAGAGAAGAGATGGGTTCAGACCTTTTCCATGGGTATTTGTGCAAAAACAAACATAACAGCCTCAGCTGGTATTTGAACTCAGCTCTCCACTTTCTCATTCCGAATTGCTATACTGACACATCCACTAAAAAGGGGTAAAAAACAATTTTGCAGACCTGCTGTAAATGTTAAACCATTTGACATAGGATTTGAAAGGATCAAATAAATAAATAAAAATAAAAAAAAATGTGAATAAAATAACAGAAATGTCTTTCCTTTTTATAAACATTTCACATTGCATTTTTGTTCACCTTTTGTTCATTTTTGACTGCAGATTAAATACACCTCACCTATTTTGCATACATAACCTAAAAATATATCCAAATAAAATGTTATAGAAATGACATGTATGCTTAAAGCAGATTCTAGATTGTTTTAGAGTATCTGTACATAAAGCGGGAGTGGTGGTCAAGTTTCTATTGTTAAGTAAAAAAAAAAAAATGATCACAGATTTCATTTTAATAAAAGCTTAAAATGCATAAAAATAGTTAAATCAGTATCAGTCAGTTATGTTCCATGTGTGATACATGCTTAGGCGATCATGTATCTTTTGATACATGACTGACGAGGCAGATTTTTTTTCCCGCAGTAGGTTGCCATTTCTTTCTGTGGTAGACTAGTTGCCATCGAAGGCTATAGAACCTGGTCTGTAGACTGTTTTTAATGTTAATAACTAAAATGCGGAGCACATGCAACTCAAAGAAAGAATAATGACATCATCAAGACACTGACATTCCCCACTACCTCAAACAAAAGGCAAGGAAGGAAACCCCCATCTGTACTGAAAAGAGCTATAATAGCTACTGGAGTTGAGAAACTTATTTTTCAAAAAAATTGTTCTAAGAGAAAGATTTTATAAATTTCAACCAACAGCAGCACTGACTGCTCAGTCAATGAATGCCAAATGTTTCCTTAGAAATGTTTCATAGTAAACGGCTTCTTGCTTTACTATTTGTCATTCAAAATTCTTTAATTATACCAGGATTGATGT